CCCGCATGCAGCCTGACCTGGAATGCAAATAGAAGAAGCTCAGCCTCCCCCCCCTCCATCCCAAAAGCCAGGGCAGGCCGGGGTAAAACGCCACAGGCGACGAGGTCTATGTCATGTGGTGCGAGTGCATGCGCGCTATTCCATGCGCCGGCGAACTTCCTGGACGATGGGGCTCCCGGCGCCCGGGGCCCGGAGGCGTAGGTTCAGGATGTCCGGCACGCCGCCATCGGCCAGCTGGATGTCCCGGAGGAGGAGATGGTTGTCAAAGTGCTGGAGGTGTTCCACGGCCGCCTGGGCCTCGGCCCCGGCCAGTGAGTCCGGCTCATTGTCCTGGGCGTCGCGAGAGGGTCAGTTGACGAAGCGGGGAGGGGGCGAGACAAAGAAGCAAGGGCCAAAGGGGAGAGGGGACCCTCCCGCCTCGCCCCCCGCCCTCCGATGGCAAGGTGACCACGCACACCCAGGAGGGACAGCGCCCGGAAGCCGGCGCGAGCCTCTTCCAGCAGGGCGCGCCGGAAGGCCGAGCCATCCTCCAGGCCCAGCAGGCCGGCCAGCAGGCCGGTCACCAGGCGGATGGCTGCCACCCGGAGGAGCTCCGGCTCGTCGAGGGTGCTTTGCTCCGGGAGGAGGAGGAGGGGGCCCTCCTCGCGGTCGGGGCCGTCGCCCGGCCGGATGATGTGCCGCAGGGCGGCCAGCAGGTCGCGCAGGGTCCCGCCCGGGAAGTAGGCCACCGGAACGGCGGCCGTCACGCCGGCCAAAACCGACAAGACCGACGCCAGCATCAGAGCCCGGTCCGAGCCGGGGGCTTCGCCGGTGCCGGGGCCCGCCTCGCACAGCTCCTGCAGCATCTCCAGCAGGGGCGCAACCAGGACGTCGGCTACAGGGCGGCGGGGGGCCAGCGAGAAGAGGCGAGCGCCGGTGAGCGGGCCAGGGAGAAGCGAAGAGAGAGAGAGGGAGAGAGAGGGAAAGGGCGAGCGCAAGAGAACAGGCAGGAGCAGGGCATGTGGTGACGCACGGAAGACCCCCTCCAGCGAGGCGCGGTACCGGACCACAAACCCATCCAGGGCCTCCATCAGCCGCAGGCGCGTGGCGAAGGCAACCCCCGGGTCGCGAATGATCTGCCCCCGGTCGACGGGTCAGTCGGCGAGTCCGTGCGCCTGTGCAGGCCGGCGCCCGTTCGTTGTCCCCCCCCCCCCCCCTATGCTGCCACGGACGCACCTCGAACACCAGGGGCAAGCAGGCCCGGGGGCCGGTGCCGAGAGCCCGGCGCAGGGCCCCGATGGCCGCCCCGAAGACAAAGGGCTCATCGCTGGCCAGGGCCGACGCACACAGGGACCGGACATACCGCCGGAGCCGGGGGGCTGGCACCTGGTCGGCCGCCACGTCGGGCCCCACCACGGCCAGCCCGGAGGAGAGGGCCCGCGGCCCGACCGGGCCCGCCTGGCCGGCCTCGCGCAGGGCGTCCACCATCCGGGCCTCCAGCTGGCGGACCCCGAGCACCTGGCTGGCCGGGTCGGCGTCGGCCGCCAGCAGCCGGCTGAGCGGCGGGAGGGGCTCCTCCGGGGCGGCCCCCGGCTCGGAGGCCGCCCCGGGAGCTGCCCCGGCCTCGCCGCCGCGCCCGAGCACCAGGGCATCCACCAGCAGGCGGCCCAGCTGGCCGATGGTGTCCAGCAGCTGTCGGAGCCCGTCGGCATCCAGGCCGCCGCCGCCGCCGCCGGGGTCCTGGGGCCCGGGCCCGGCCTCCGGCAACGCCTCATCATCCGAGTCGCCGGCCACCACGCGCAAGAGTCCGGCCAGGGGCCCGGCCGCCGGAGCGGGCGACGGGGCCCGACCGGCCCCCGGGCCCGGCACGCCGGCCAGGCTCAGCAGCTGGCAGGCCCCGTGCTCCAGGAACTGGCAGACCAGGACCAGGCCGCGGCCGAGGGCCTGGCCACCGGCGGCCGGCTCGACAAAGAGCCCGGCCACGGCCTCCGGCTTGAGGATGTCTCGCCGCAGCTGGTCCAGCAGCACGCGCGCCAGGGGCAAGGCGGCTGCCAGGCGCCGGGGGAGCTGCCCGGCCATCGCCCCGCCGGCGGCCACATCGTCCCCGCCGGCCAGTGTCGTCTCCGGGAAGAGGGCCACCAGCAGCCGGGCCCAGGCCAGCGTGCCGAGGTCGGTGGCGTGGCGCTGCAGCAGGGCCTGCGACGCGGCCAGTGGCAGCCCCTGGCAAGCACACGGCCCAGCCAGGCATGGCTCCCGGCCGGGCCCATCGTCCAGGGCCCCCGGCCAGAGGGTGTCCCCGGGAGGGGCGCCCAGCCGGTCGGGCACCTGGGCCTCGGCCAGGAGCGAGGCACGCAGCGAGCGCTCGGCCAGGTGGGCCCCCACGGCGTCCGGCACACAGCGGTCCAGCAGCCGCGACAGCCGGGCCAGCGGCTCGGCCAGCAGGTCGTCCTCGCTCGCGCCCGGCCCGCGGGAATGCCCCGGCACAAGCAGGGGGAATGCCGGCTCCTGGGCCGCGGCCGCCAGTTGCATGTGCCCCGCCGGCACCCGGGCAAAGGACCCCCGGCGCCCGGACAGCCCGGGCGGCTGCGAGTCGCCCGGCACCGACACAAAGCCCCCGGCCGGCTCGGGCTGGCAGCCGGCCAGCAGCCGGCCCGCCTGGCGGATGGCCCAGTCCAGGGCCCCGGCCAGGGACAGCTCCGGCTCCGGGCCCCCGGGGCCGGCCACCGGCGCCGCCAACAGCAGATCCCCGAATACACGGAGGAGCCCCTCCAAGCGGCCGAGCGTGGCCTCGGGCCCGGCCCCCGGGGGGAGGACCGCCCGCACGGCCGGCCCCCGGGGCGCCGCCTGCACATCCACCACCAGGTACACGACCGCCAGGGCGGCCACCGCCGGGAGGAAGTGCCCGCACAGGGCCGCCAGCCCGGGCGGCACCAGCCCGGCCCGGCGATCGGCCAGCAGCGAGGCAAACAGGCGCTCCAGCCCGCGCAGCATGGCCTCCGGGGTGCTGGCCACCAGGGGGATGCCCTCGGCCGGGACCGGCGCCGGGCGGCCGGTGCCCCCCGGGCTGGCGGCCCCGCGCAGGGCGGCCCCCGTCAGCGGCTCCACCACGAAGTCCTGGAAGACCGGCCCGGGCAGGGCAAAGCCCTCCGGCTGGCAGGGGCCGGCCGGGTGGGCCGGGTGCGCGGCCCGGCCAGCCAGCCGCGTCAGGATCTGCGACACGACATACGGGATGCGCCGGACCCCGAGGGTGTCGAGCGGCGCCTCGGACACCGGGCCCGACGCGGGCGCCTCGTCCAACGCGAAGAACACATGCTCGTCGGCCACATCCACGGTCAGGAGCTCCAGCAGCTGCGGCACCACGAAGGCCGCATACACGGCCGGGTCCTGCCGCGCCAGGAAGGAGGGCGGCGTGGACACCAGGCCGACGGCCTGGTCCACCTGCGAGGTGCGGTCTGCCCGGGAGGCGAGGCACCGGTCAGCCACCGGTCGCCGACGGGAAAAGAAAGGGGCACGGCGAGAAGCCGCCCGAAGGGCGGAGCGGGGAACACCCACGTGGCCATGCGGCCAGACGCACCAATGTCCAGCCCCTCGAGGATGGAGCTCAGCGTGGCCGACACGCCGTCCGGGCGGATGAGCACGCGCGACAGGAAGTGCCCCAGGTACCCGCGGACCTGGGCACGCGAGAACCTACGCCGATCGGGTCCCGGCGGCATCCGGCAAGGGCGGAAGTGCGTGCATGTATGTATGTGTGTGCGTGTGTGTGCGTGCATGTATGCGTACATGTGTGCGTGCATGTATGTGTGCATGTATACGTGCATGTGTGCGTACATGTGTGCGTACATGTGTGCGTACATGTGTGCGTGCGTGCGTGCGTGCGTGCGTGCGTGCGAGGGAGCGTGAGGGGGCCGCATGTGGGAAGCACAAGAGTAGCGGGAGCAGGCATGACGGACCGGTCGATGTCGCCGCCGGTGTTCGGCCGGCGCAGCGGGGCCCCCGGCGTCGGGACCGACGCCATCAGCCTCTGGGCCGACTCGATGAGCGATCGCGGGGGCAGCCTACACCGAGACACGTCGGGGCGATGCCCATGTCAGGAGGGAGCGGCATGTGGCAAATGCGGCAGAGCCGGGGGGGGGGGGG